CTTCCCTTTATAGGTAATCTGTTTCTTTTCTCTAGCAGCTTTTAATATTCTGTTCTTTTGCTGGAGATCTGGGAACTTGACTATTATATGTCTGGGTGTAGTTTTATTTTGGTTGTGGTTTTTTGGAGTTCTAAATGCCTCATTTACCTGGATATCAGGTTCTGTTTCCATGCTTTGGAAATTTTCTGCTGTTATTTCTGCAGATAATCTTTTAATGTCAGTTGTTGCCTCCTGCTGTTTCATTGACTCCAATAATTCGTACATTATTCTTCTTTGCCTCATCTTGCAGCTGTTGAATTGACTTTTCCTGGATCCTTGCTGATATTACGAGAGCCGTTTTTTTCACAGTCGCTAGCTGCCATGTTGTGTTCAAGGTCTGAGATTCTATCTTCAGCTTCATTCAAGCGGTTTTGGTAGCTTTCAGTGGCACCTTTATTTTCCTGGAAGCCTCTTAGAATCTAGTTCATGTGTTCTAAGTCCTTTCTATATTTTTCATTGAATGCTTCTGACCCTTGCCTTTGTTCTTCTATTTTCTTATATATTTCTTCTTCAGACTTTTTGAGCATTTCCTTCATTATTCTTTTCATTTCACCTTTTGCCTGAGAGATTGTTTCTGATCTCATCTCTTCTATGGCCTTCTGGAGTTGTTTCTTTACTTCCTTTGCAATCATTTCAGCTATTTCAGGCGTGTGTTTACCAAGTTCTCCTATGTTGATGTCTCCTGGACTTGTTCTGATTGGGGTGGAGTTCTGAGATTGTGTTTTAGTGTTTCGTTTTGACATGTTTGCTACCAGATGCAGAAAGCTCAGTTTCTGTTTTTTGGTAGCTGCTCAGCCAAGACCACTAGTGTCCCTATTTTTTCTGTTTGTTTGCCCCTGGGTGACCTCTGAGTAGCACTACTTAGTCTTGGGTTTTACAGCAGTTTTTGATTTGTATCTAGTTATCCCCGTTCTCAGACACGGGCACTTGTGTCAGTTGATGGCCGACCGTCTGATCCAGTGTCCCCTTGCAGTTCAGTGCACATGCACAACCTGACTCAGGTTGCAGTGGTGTGACAATCCTGGTCCAGTGGACCTATGTCCCCAGGCAATTTAGGGTACAGGCATAATTCAGACACAAACTGCAGGGTCTGCAGTTTGTGAACCACCTGGATCTACGTCTCCAGTCAGTTCAGGACACATACGGGAACCAGATGCAGCCCAGATGGGTATCAGTCACAGACTTCCCCAGCCTTCGACTCGCTAGGGGGTCTGGGCAAAGGCAAAGGACAGACTCAAACCGCGGTCCTGCAGCTCCCGGAGCACTGGCTCACTTGGCGCAGGGTGCGTGGGGCTGGGAGAGTCTGCATGCCCCGCCCCCAGCCAGAGAAGTCCCTGGGGCTTCTGAGTGAGGACCTCCTCTCTGCCACAGGAGCAGGGAGGCCTGGGCTCCGTCTGTAATGTCAGCGGGGTCCTGCTTCGCGTGCTGTGCCCTCAGGGAGTAGATGGGAAATACCTGGCTCTCTCCACGCGTTTCAGCTGGGAACCGCGGCAGTGTGGGCCAAGCACAGACTCGAACCCAGGAGTACAGCAGCTCCCAGAGCACTCGCTCTCTTGGCGCAGGGCGTGCATGGCTCAGAGTCTCTCTTTTTAATTTATAGTGTTGAATTATAGTTTTTATCTATTTTGTAACAATATTAATCTATTTTCTTTGTGTGTAGGAAAGTGTTGTACTTAATATTTTTTCTGTAACTATCTTCATATAGTTGCTATTCTCGTGTCTTTTTATTATTTATTTTTTAAATTACTTGGATTTTCTTGAACTGGCTATTTGAAGGGGGATGGGAAGGGTAGCTGTGGGCTTATGCCAGGGTTGCCTTTCATATTGAGGATATTTTTCTTCCCTCCTTCTACCACCTGGCTGCTGACTTCTGTAAGGGTGCTTCTGAATGGCTGTGTGTTCTCTGCCTCTCTGAGTTCCTCTTGTTTAGGATGCAGGAGTTTTAAGTGCTCACTCTCCTTTCTTGTCCTTCTGTTCTCTTGCTTGTCACTGAGGGAACCTTCTCCCAGTGTGGCCCTTTTGTTGCCAGTGTTGTCTGAGGACTGCAGCCTCAGCTCCAGCCCCACCTGCACCCTTGTGCTCGCAGACTTTCTCGGTCTCCTTTGCAGCTGGGTTTCGTTCTCTTCAGTGTGGCAGTCAGATAGGTAGCACTTCCTCATTCTAGGAATGTATTTTGACTGGAAGTTTATGAAAGTAGCTACTGTTCTGCTTCTCTGCTCGCATTGCCTTACTTGTATTTGTTTTTATTTTGTTCTGTTTGTGCAGCATTTATTTACTTTTTTTTTTTTTTTTTTTCATGAAATAGGCAATACCAAGAAGCAAGAGAAACTTATCTTGACCTGGATAATAAAGTAAGAACTTTAAAGAGGTTTATTAAGTTACTAGAAGAAATAATGACCCACAGATACAAAACATACCAACAATTTAGAAGGTAAGTACTTAAAATAATATTCATATATATTATGCATTTTTGTGTTTTTGTTTTCTCATCATCATTTATAGATAATGAAAAGACAGTTACAATTTTCAGTCAGAAAAGAAACTAGATGTTTATTTTATCATTTATAGAATTTAGGATTCTTTAATTTAATCAAAGTATTCTGATTTGAAGAGCCTTTATAGCAAGTTTATCTTCTACATTCTGTATAGTTGTGGTTTTTTTTTTTTTTTTGGTACTGGGAATCGAACTCAGGACCTTGTGCTTGCCAGGCAGGCACTTGTGCCGCTGAGCTATATCCCTGGCCCTAACTTTTACATTCTGTTAGAGATTGTTTACAAGGTAAGTCCTAGTGTGCCATTCATTCTTTAACTGGGTCCTTCCAGTGAGAACTCACTGGTACTGAAAGTAGCTTTCCATTGCTTTTTTTTTTTTTTCTTGAGACAAGGTCTCACTATGTAGTCTGGGCTGGCCTTGAACTCACTATTTAGCCCAGGTGGGTCTTGAACTCATAGCAGTTCTCCTGTCTCAGCCTCCCAAGTGTTGGGACCATAGGTGTGTGCCACCATACCCATCCCACTACACTTTCTTAAGGGATGCAGGAGTCTGATACCTCTGTTGCGGCACCATCTCAGTTAACTTACTACCATCTACTAGAATGGCATTGCTACATGAACACAAACTGTTTTCTTTATTGCTGTATCTGCAGTGAGCCCGAAGTATAGTGGGCTCTTTATACACATTGGTTGAATAAACAAATACAGGACCAGGGAGACTGGATATTATCTATACTGAGAGACACAGACTTTCAGAGGTGGAGCAACCCAAATTAGTATCATAAGAAACAAGTAAACCAGAGGTCAGTTGATAAGGATGAAGAGGTCTTAATATACTTAGATCTGAGGCAGTCTCAGTCCTTCCACTTGCCTGTTTACCACAGTGACATTCCTCACTAACGTGCATTTAAGAGTATCTTAAATTTCTTCATACCCACAATTCTCCAATCTTAAGACCATAGGGAATAAAAATATACCTAACTATAGTGAAATTTAGCTAAAGCCATAAAATGCAATGTGTTTGACCATACTCCTTAACTAAATTATATGTTTTGAAATGCATGTTGTAGTTATCTTTTAAATACATTTTTAATTTTTATTTGACACATGGTAGTTTATGTATTTGTGGGGTATAGTGTGACATTTCAGTACATGAATACAATGTGTAATGATCGGGTCAGGGTAATTGGTGTATCCATAACTCCAGATCTTTATCATTTCTTTATGTTAGGAACACTATGAATTGTTTTTTAATTTTTTTATATTATTCAAATTTGAGTGGGATTCATTTCTGTCCCTTTGAGGCTGTTTTTAAGCTTTGTTAGGTGGGAATGAAGCAGCATTTATCATGATTAATTTTATCTTACCTCTGAGGCTGTACTCTGAGAACTCTGACAGTACCTTAAGAATTGTGGCCTTTTCAATCTGGCCAGTGGTGACATGAACTGTCCCGACTCTTTGTGAGCTTCTGGAGTGCTTGTGCTTTGGATGTCTCCTTCCCCAGGATTAGGTAGTGTTTTCACACATGCACTGATGAGTGCTGAGCTCATGATGGGCTCAGAACCCTGGCAGACCCTCTGAGTTATCCCTCTGTGCTATTCTCCGCTGCCTGGACACAGACACAGAGGGCGGGCTCCACTGAGGTGTGCACTCACTGATGCTTCTGACTTGGAGCATTCACAGCATTCAGGTCATTTCTTCCTGCCTCAGAGATTGACTTGATAGGAGCTGCCTGTGCTGATAGTGAGTCTAAAACTTTTGTTTCATATATTTTACTTAGTTTCTTAGTTTTAAGTGGAAATGGAAACTAATCCCTATTAGTACATACATATTTTCCAGATCTAGTAGTCTTTATGTCATTACCTAGCAATTGGCATTTAACAGGTTTCTTTTGTTAAAGTATTGCCCTTATGGTTTACTGCATTAATACAATGCATCACCACTGACATGCTTTACATTGATCACCCAGTCTTAGAAGGAGAATAAAATGACCAAGTTTTTAAAATCGTTTCCCCTCTCTATGCTGGAGAACTTTGCCATTTTGTGACAATAGACTGTTAGCATCCCACGAGTTTGAAACAAGTGAAGAATGCATATTAGTGTCCCACTTTAGGAGCGTCTGCACTCCCCTCTGACTGTGTGTGCTTCTTGCTACTTGATAAGGCTGTTTATGTCTCAAAAAAATACATATTGGTACTGAAAGAAAGCACAGTGAATAGGGAGTTCTAAGAACTAACTAGGAGAGGTAGCCGTGGCAGCAAAAGAAAACTCAGAATATCATTATTTTCTAGTGTAAGAAGTTAATGAAATGTAGGGAGAAAAATAGGAGGGAAAAGAACACAGTCATAGTTATTCCAAAGATATGAGCCATACACTCATTAAAGAATAGTGACTTTCAGAAAAGTAGCCAGTTACCTGTCACTTGGACCTTATTTTCTAAATACTTTCCCCCAAAAGAACCAGGGTTCCAAGAGAATGGCTGATTCTAGATCTGGCAAGGAAGATACAGGAGAGCCTCTTTACCAAGAGGAGAAGGGAGGAGGAGAGGAAAGGAGAGAGAAAAAGTGTGGGGGACCAGCTTGAGGGGGCATTCATTGGCAAAATCTGGGGTAATTTGAGGATCACAATGTATGTGTGTATATTTGTGGATAAATCAAAATGGACCCAGAGAGTAAAATAATTTCTGACTCTGTCCTTGTAAATAGAAAGGTAGATAAGTATATAAAGAATGAAGCGGGGGAAAGCTCTTCCTTCTAGTACAGCGTCATCTAATATATAGAGAAGGAAGGATGGCACTCACATTGTACCAAGCAGTGTACAGTACAAGGCATTATCAGAGTATGAATAAAAGACTGCCCCTAACCTCTTTACTACTATTCGTAGTTGAAGTTGGGAGGAAACAGGCAAATGAATAGGCAGTTTATCATTTTAATGGCTCTAGAATTTAATCCTTTTAAGGACAAGATTTATGACTTAGCCAGGTGTGGTGGTGCATGCCTAAATATTTGTCTAAATATTTCATTTAGTATCAAATTTAGCTGCAATAGTAAGTGAATTTTATGTGCTATAGTATCCACTTTTATGCATATACATTATATAAAAATATAATTATATATACCAATTATTATAAATGTTATACTTCAGTTAGTATAGTATTTATACTATAATATATACTGGTACAGTACAAGATTTATGTATATATTATTCATATATAGACATATGTATATGTCTACCTTCCTACGTATCTGCTTACTTACCTATCTACAAAGTGCTGTTAGAACAACATTAAGTATATCTAATATTTGCAGAAGCCAACAAGGTTGGAAATAGGTACAAATAAACAATTCATCCAGTCTGTGAGACTGTCACAAATATCCCAGCCATTTGGGAGCTGAGGCATGAGGATCACCACAAGTTCGATGCCAGGCTGGGCTACATAGTGAGTTCAAGGTCAGCTTGAATTACAGAGCAAGACCTTGTCTCAAAAAAAAAAATTATGTCTTAATCTACTAGAGTAATAAGGCTTTATATAAATTGAGTGATACATTCATATAGACTGATTGGTATATGGAGTATATTATATTTGTGATTACTCCTTTGTTCACTTTACATATGATTATCATAAAAGTGAATGAGTTGGTTAAATGTAGGGTACAGGTAAATTAAAAACACTGGTGGAAAGCTACATTCACCTGTTAAGTGGATAACCAGTGTTCACACTGTGTTTAGATCATGCTGGATGTACAGTTCTGTGTCTTTATCCTATTTTTAATGTGCCCAATTTATTTTAAGGTGTTTGACTTTACGATGCAAATTGTACTTTGACAATTTACTATCACAACGGGCCTATTGTGGAAAAATGAATTTTGACCATAAGAATGAAACTCTTGCTATATCAGTAAGTATCTTAGCTCTTTACATCTTAATCATTTGGAAAGTTAGCTTTTCCTTTTCATTTTGATGAAACATTGATAAACATTACCATGTGTCTTTGGAAACTTATTTCTAAGTCAATGCTAGTCTATGCTAATGTACGGAAAATTAAGTTTATTGTACTAAGTCATTACTGAATAAAGCTCCTTGCTTAGTTCCTGTCCCCAGCAATATTATTTTCTCAAAGTGATAATTAGGAATTTGATTTTCAGTTGCAAGTGATTATTCTCAGGTTATCCTGAGCTCTAGTCTCTTTAATAAGCAAGGCTGCACATTCAGCTCTGTGGTTTTATGGCTGTGGATTCATTCACAGTTGTATGTTTGAAAGGTGTAGGGCATAAAGATACAGCTTTAAAAATTGTGTATTTTGGTCAAGAGCAAGTACTCAGTTTAGTCTGGGGAATTTTTTTAACTAATGGCTACTCTTAGTGCCATAAGTTGTATCCTTTCATTTTAATACTTAGAATAAAAGTTAGGTGTTTATAGATCTATGTTGTTTGGAACCTTTGCATTTTAGCCAAATAAATTAACTTTCACCTCTCTTTTTAAAGTTTTTTGTTTGTTTGTTTGGTTTTTTTTGTACTAGAAATTGAACTCAGGACCTTGCTCTTGCTGGGCAGGCACTTGTGCCACTGAGCTATATCCCCAGTTTTTTACCCTCTCTTTAAGTTTCTACCAGTGAATCATTAGTAGCTTCTCCTCCACCTGTTCATTTTTAAGAGCCCGATCATTAAAGATGCAGAGGTGAAAGGAATGGGCGAAGTTACGCTTGCATAGGAAGGTATTGTCATGGTGGCCCATTGTTTTTACTGCAAATGATGAGACATTGGGAACTTGTGGAAGTGACAGTGACTAAGTGAATGAGAATTACAAGCGATGAGAAAACTGTTCTAAGCAAGCTGAGAATTTCTGGGTAATTTTTTTTCCTGGAAGCATTGTGGATTCTGGAATTCTGGTGATTGTAGAGGACTGCCAAGACAGTAGAAACTTACAAAAGCTAAAAATACACCTAATATTTCAGTTAATGGATTCCTGGGTGCTGGGGTTTACACACTGGCCCAAGGAACAGGAATGAAAGCCTTATCAAAACTGCAACTCCAGCCCAATGTTTTCCACAGTTGACTGTCAGCCTTACCATACCTCTGACCTAACAGAAGGAAAAGTATCCCCCTTTGATGGAAGGTTATCTATGTCTGGAGCCCCATTTGTTCTTTTATATAAAATGTCTCTCATAAGGTTAAAAAGACTAGGTACTCACCTTTTTTGTTCAACATTGGACTAGAAGTTCTAGCCAATGCAGAAAGTCAAGAAAAAGAACTAAAAGGCATGCCTTGGAAAGGAAGAAGCCAGACTGTCATTATTTACAAGTAACACAGTCATCTATGCCATTTACAAAAAGAGCTACCTGAACTAGTCAGTGCAACTAGCAAGGTTGCAGGCACAAGCAGTATGCAAAAAAAATGAATTACACTTCTGTATACTAGCAACAAATGATTAGAAATTAAAAATTTAAAGATACCCTTTTTTTTCATACTGGGAATTGAACTCAGGATGTTTTGCTTGGCAGGCAGGCACTGTGCCACTGAGCTGTATCTGTAGCCCAAGAATACCCTTTATAATAGCATCAAAAATTAAAAACAGAAAAATCTGACAAACATTGTGCAAGAGCAGTAAACTGAAAGTTAAAATGAAATACTGAGAAATTAAGGATGATCTAAATAAACAGATACTTGGTGTTAATGGATCAAAAGATTCAGTATTTTATTATGTTTCAGTTTTCTGCAAATTGATTTGTAGATTCAACACAATTTCCGCTAAATTACCAGCAGACTTTTTTTTTAGAAATTGACAAGCTGATTCTAAAATTTATATGGAAATACAAAGGACGTAAAATAGACAACACAGCTTTGAAAGTGGAGAACAAAATTGGAGGGCTTGTATGAACTGATTGGGACAGTTTCTGCAAAGCCACAATAATAATGATAGGCTGTTGGTTTGAAGGCATCCAGATGGATGAATGGGACAGGTTACTATTACAAAAGTGCGTAAGGAAATTTTTGGAAATGATTGATGTGTTCTTCATCTTGAATTGTGGTTTAGAATAGAATGCACATTTGCTAAACTTAATCAAATTGTATATTTAAATATATGCAATTTATTGTATTTTATTTATTTTACCCTTCAAAGCTTTAAAAGTTACCAGCAGAAGCATGGAAATGTGACAGGTAGTAAAAACAAAAAGCAGAAAAAAAGAACCAAATTCACAGATGATAGTTACAAGAGATAGCACACTAATGTCCTAACCATGGTTAACATGTTAAAGATGTTAGCCATAAACAACAGGAAAGAAGAAGATGCAGAGTTTCAACAAGAACAATAAGTGGGTATTCTATAGCTGAAAATTTCAGTATCTGAAATTAAAAACTCAGTGGATGGCTAATAGCCAACTGAGGGCCTGGGATATAGCTCAATGATGCAATGCCTGCCTGGCAAGCACAAGGTCCTGAGCTTGATTCCCAGTACAAAAAAAATGATGATAATAAAGCCAACTGAACATAAAAGAAAGGATATAATTAGCAGAACTCAAAGCAGGTCAAAAGGAAATATCTAAAGTGAGCAGCATTAAAAACAGAAGACAAATCACTGAACAGAGCTTAAGAGCAATACCCATAATCAGTTTTAACGTAAGTGTAATTGGAGTCCCTCTAGCGTAGGATAAAGAGCCAGATATGTAACTCAGCAAGTGCTGCACCTGCCTGGCAAGTGCAAGGTCCTAAATTCAGTTTCCAGTATCAGAAAAAAAAAAAAAAAGAAGAGCAAAGAACATTTGAAGAGGTAGTGGTTAAGAATTTTTCAAACTGAAATACAGCAGTCTAGATTCACAGAAATGCCCACAGACCTCAAATGACATTACACACATACACAGCTAAGGACAAGGTAATCAAGTAGCTGAAAACCAGAAGCAGAGGTATTAAAAAAGTAGCAAGAGAAGAAGTAAACATTACTTTTCCACAGAGCAAAAATAAACTTAAAGGCAGACTTTTTAACAGAAATTGTGGAAGGTAAAGGTCATTTGAAAGACTTTAAAGTGCTAAAGGATTAAGAGGCGTAAGATAGCTTTTGCTGTATAAAACAACAATACTGTGCTAGCGTATTGTGGGGTGTATAAGATGTAAAGTATGTAAATGACACAACAAGAGAATAAGAGCTTAGGGGGCTAAACTGTTAAAAGATTCTCGCACATTCTGGGAAGCATTAACCAATACTAATTGAAGATAAACTAATAATTCATGAAAAATGTATTTGCAAGTCTCTAAAGCAACCACTGGAATAATTTTAGAAGAAGGTAACATAGAGACCAAATAAAACAAATGGAAAGGAAAACTACTACAAAGAAGGCAAAAGAAAACATAACAATAGGATTAACAAAATAAATAATGAGATTTGCCAGTAATCTTGATTTGCCAGTAATTACATTAAGTATACATGGACTAAATAATTGAATTAAAAGTCAGGCTAAACCAAATATAAGCACCAATTTTTAAAAAACGGGGGGTTATTAATATAAGGACAGAGATCCCAAGTAAAATATGGAAAAAAAAAATGTCATGCAAACATTAGCCAAAAGAAACCTCTAGTCAGCTTTCTCTTGGCTGGAACACAATATCCAAAACCTGCAACTTACAGGAAGATTTAAATATGCTCATGTTTTTAGAGGATTCAGTTCATGGTTGACTGGCTCTGAGGCAGGAATATCACAGTGGAAGGACACAGCACAGCAAAGCTACTTAGTCCCTAACAGCTAGGAAACAGAGCAAGAAAGTATCACTGACCATACATAGATTGTACCCAAGGGCATACCTCCATGACTAACCCAGACATACCCAGAAGTGTGCTCCATAAATTAATAACAATCAAAGTAGGATATAGACAAATAGTGTATTACTAAAGGTAGAGACCAAAAGAATCTCTATTTCATAGGACAAGTTATTTAAAAATAATACTTTATTCTGCATGTACCTAACAAGATAGCTTCAAAATACTTAAAGGTTGAGAGTATTAAAAGGCAAAGTAGAACTGACAAATACAGTTGGAAATTTTAACAAATTTTTCTTAGTATTTGATGAAACAATGAGATTAAAAGTTTATAAATATATGTTAGTGGAAAAGGAAGGCCAAACATTCGTGATCTAAGTTTTATCTTTGGAAACTAAAAAGCAGAAGCCATTTGTTTTTGAAGTTTCTCTTTTTTCTTTTTTTTTTTTTGGAGAAGATCAGGAATTGAACTCAGGGCCTCATGCTTGCCAGGTAGGCACTGTGCTGCTGAGCTATATCCCTGGCACACAGAGCCATTTATAAAATCAAGTAGAAAAATGGATATAATAAAGATAGAGTAGAAGTTAGAGACTAGAAAGCAAATGTATAGTGGCAGTGAAATAGAGAGCTCAAGGCTGACTGTACAATAAACATGATTATGAAATTAAAGACAGTCTGTATCCTATGGGGAAGGATGATGATGTCAGGAGTTGTATTGGGTTCAAACTGGTGGGACTCTTTTTCTTCAAATAAATAGCAAACCTTGACCCTATTCCTCATATTAGGTACAGATAGTGATTAAAAATTGATGATAGACTTACATGTAAGATGTAAAACAGGGGCTAGGAATTTAGCTGAGTGGCACAGCGCCTGCCAGGCAAGCACAAGGTCGTGAGTTCAGTTCCCAGTACCAGAAAAAAAAAAAAAAGATGTAAAACAGTAATGCTTGTGTAAAACAGTAATGCTTGTATTCTAAAATGAGAATGTGTTCTTTCTCCACATTCTCACCAGTCTTTGTTTTCTTTTTGATAAAAGCAATGCAGCTTGGGATGAACTGATATCTCATTGTGGTTTTTGATTTACAGTTCCCCTGATGAAAAAAAAGACCACTTTTTCATTTGTTTGCTGGCCATTTGTATATTTTCTTTT